TCTGGGTTAAAAAAAAAAAACATTCAGCGGAACCTTTATAACTTACTATTGTGGATAAAACCCATGCTGAGACGCCCACTAAAAGGCAGGCTGGTCAACAGTGACACCCCTTTAAATGAGCCCTTATGAAAACCCCAGAAGCCATATCCTGCACCACAGCAGTGCTGCACTTCCTCTTCCCAAGTAGTTTCCCTGGCACTTATGCTCCTCTGAATGGGTCTAAAAGGACCAACAGGCACATAACCTATTATTGCTGGAAACGGAGTGTGTACAGCACCACCAGCTTTATTTATCTGTTGAAAAAGGGCAAGCTGGGCTCTAGTCAACTGTCTAGACAGTCACTGATAGATGGATGGCTCATGCTAGAAAACCAGGCTATGTTTCATCCTTTCATATGTCTAAAAGCAGGAGGCTACTGACAAAATACTAGCTATAGAGCAACAACAAATAGAAGGAAAATGGCTTAATTTGAAGATTTTACTTTTAATTGAGACAAGTCCACAGCATTGTCATCGCAGTGGCTACATCCATGCTCATAGTTCCATGCATTGGGGACATAGTTGGCCAAGTAGTTCAAGTACATCTGCAAAGGAAAGAATTCAAAGTTGGTGAATCACTGGTTGCAGAAGATTAATATCAGACATTTCTGTTTCAGCAAAGCTCACTTAAACATTTTCATATTGTGTTTGGAATATCCTGTCCTGTAGGTATGTGGGTTGACTGGGCAGAATCACTGTTTATAAATGTCTCCTCTACTGAAAATGAAACTTGACAATCTAGTGTAATTATCCCTTTGCTTTTTTATTCTCTGCATACATTTCAACATATTGTAATCAACCTTAGCCGCTCTGAATTTCAATTTTCTGGAAACGTACAATTTCCATTGTGCTACTCCTTATAAATCTCATATCACCGGTATCAACACAGCCGCCATGTATTTGTCACCACATTGACTCTGGCCTGTATATTGGAAAATAATAATAAACGAATGGTTAGAGATCCAGCTAGGAAGCGCCAACGTTAGAAGTCACTGCTAGGACATGGATTCTCTGATCTGAGCTTCTCCACCAGATGTTGAATCCTCTGGGAAAAGTGACTCAACAGCATGGTGGGTTTGGTTCTTTGCCAAAAAAATGACGAGACCGGAGACTGGTGGTGGAGTGAGACTTTTAAAGGAAGGAAAAAGACCAGAAAAAAGTTCCACAGAAGGGTGTTGGTATTCTGCTTTTCAGCTTGCTGAGCTCACCATTCTAATTTACAGCAAATGATGGGGAAGAAAAAATGGTGGACACATGTACTAAGGTATAAACATAGTTTTGGCCTTTCTGCTCCACTGAATAATGAACTGGGCAGGGTTTCTGGCAAGTTTGCACATAAACAGTATGACTTGTACGTTTCCTGAATGTGTGGGAATTTAAAGACTGAAATGCAGTCTGTGTTGATGAATGTTATACAAGCTTGTCTACATATGAGAAAGAAGAGCAGTAATTTCCCTGGTGAAGATGATTCACTTAAAATATCTATACTGTGCCATAACAGCACTATATTAGTTGTACCCAAGGACACGATGTCTTACTTACTTTGGTGTTTCCGTTGCCATGGACAATCACAGGTAGAGAGTCGTACACTGTGTTTCTAACTCTCACTCGGTCAGTTCCAAACTTAAGAAGCATTTCATCTGCCAAAAAGAGGAAGACCAGATATTAAGTGCCAGGTTATGAAAACAGACTTGCCATATGGGCAAGAGCTGCAAAGGTTAGTAGTTTACAGGTTAATGTGTCAGGTCTACAAGTTTTACGAAAAGAACATTTACCACAGAGTGTGGGAGCAAACTCTTCAGTTCAGTTCAGTTCAGATCTTTATTGTTGGTTTAAGTTAGCACAGCAAGTTACTAAATGCCTTAGTTTTCATTCTTTCACTTACCAGTGTCAGGATAAAACTGGGTTTTAAATGACAGAGCTCAGAATATCTGACATATAATACACAAGTTAGCAAGAAACTGAATCATGGAATTCAGTTTTTTAGGATTTCTCACCAACTGCCCCATTTAGGTTCTGGAAAATCTGACACTTGTGGTCCAAAGTCATATTGAGAGTTTCCTGAGAGACATGAAAGCAGGCAGAGTTGCTGAGCCATCCAAGAACTGTTTTCTCTGTATTTATTTTAAGATTAGGTGTTGCTATTGGCACAAGATACTTACTCTTTGTAAAGGATCCACATATATTTTAGTGTAGAAGAGCTGGTCATCATCATTGTCATGGAGGTTCCACTGTGAAACGATTTTGTGTATGTACGGGGCATAGCCAATTATACCTGCAAGTAATGAACAGTTTGAAACACATTTTCAGGCATAAAGTACGGAGTGAGAGCTGTTTACAAGGTCACATACAACTAGCTGACTCTTAGCGACAGTTAAACTGTATCTACTGGCTCAGTGGTTTAAGAACCTCGCTGCCTGAATATCTTACACAAAGTGTGATTTTTGGCAGTAATCCCAAGCACACAAGGAATGAGCAGGGATTGTCTCTTCCCACAGTCTCTGCACAAAAGTGCAATAATGTCCACTGGATACTGACCACAATATCAGATTAAAAAGAAATGCTGATGGTTTGTGCCATTTTACAAGTCAGTGGATAGACATGACACTTTAAATGGGCATAGTAAAAAAAAAAAAAGGCCAAACAAACTTTAAAATCCACAAATTTTGGAAAATGCAGGGAGCTTGATGCTTTTTTCTACCAGTCCTTTTTGGAAAAATTCACAGTTTTGCACTGCACTACCCTGCTTGGTATATCAGTTGCAAAGCTACAAGAAAGACGCCATGTAGTATGAAATGGTATAACATGTTATTATGATGTGTTTTATTTGGACAGCCTGTTGAGAATTTAAGAAAACAGTTTCACTTGCAACTCTTATAATCCCTTTTCTGTCACCTTTTAGTTTTCTTAAATAAACACACACATAACCTTACTGTATCTTGATTCCACCTCCAAAACACTGTGCTCTCTGTGTGCAGATGCTATATAACATTTCTCTGTGGTCAGTTGGGCAGGAGTTGTAGGAGTCCATACAAAACCTACAATTTTGTACAAACTGTCGCACATTCGAGGGGCTAAGGCAAATCCACATGTCATGCTGATGACAGTGAATGCTGAAAACAGTCTCTGATCAGTCTGAGACAGCTAGGCTCCAGTATGGGAGGTCAGACGGGGTTGATGACCGCTGGAAAAGCAACAGTTCAGTGTCCCGAAGAACTGACAGGATGCATCAGGCTATGGATTATGCACGAGAACTTACTGTTACTGTTCCTTTGTTAAATGTCTGCACACTATTTTTTTATAACAACATATAATGATAGTAATATTTATATACCGGTAATTGTAATAATATAATGTATAATTATTCATTACAAATAGGGTGCATTGCTGCCTACCTGGGTCATCTAGGTCTGCAAGTTCTCCAAGTTTGACAGCTGATGGTGGAATGTACTGTATGGTTACCATTACCATTTAAACAAGTTTTAGTGATAGTGACTTTAACATCTACGTTTTGTCACTTTATCGCTGATCACCTTTACATTATCCAAATAACGTACCGTCATAGCATCATGTCAGAGAGATGTTCAACGGGTCATAACAGCTCAGTATTTTGACCATATAGTATAGTGAAGTTTCAGAACCCACCTCCTGAGTTGAGGTAGCGTTTGCCACGACGGACAGAGGGGTACATGTCAGCTAGTTGCTTATCTGGCCATATCAGTCCCTCAGCAGCAAAAAGCACTTTGTGATTGGTTTGCTGGAACTTCCTGAGAATCTCTTCTGGCCCCCCAGCAAAGATAAGATCATAGCTAAAAGGGAGGAGAGAATGCAATGTATGTAATGCAATAGATCATTGTTATCTTTTGCCCTTTAGGGAGAGCCTGATAGTTTTCTTAAACAAGTGCATTTTACCATACATCTGACACACAACCTAGGCTTGCACTTGCTCAAGAAAGATAAAAATCAAATGTAATCAGTAGAAGGTTTTCTGGTGAACCCACAGACACTGACTATAAAGCTAAAATAGTTTAAAAAGTGAATTATAGGAGCATTACAGTATTAAAGACTGAGATAATACCCTGACTTGGAATCTCCACTGTGCCATAAGTCTTTATTGTACATGACACACTTCTGTCAATTCCAAATTAGCACTGAGTGACGTAGCAAAGTCATACATAGTCTGGCTGTGAATAGCAACTGTGGCCTCCATTTAAGGCGTTTGACCTTTGACTTGCATGCAACCATTGTCATGCTGCGACCTGAGCACCTGCTCAGATGCTCCACAGCATAATGAACAAATTAGTTTTATTTACATTTCGGTGAATTAATTTAACATATGACACAATATAAGTCTGTAACTAAATAAGAAGCAGAAACTGTCAAAACAACTGAGGTGGCCCAGCAGGACTATAGATTCTGAAATACATTTGAATGGCTCACAGTTCAAAGCACAGATGCAGTTTATTACAATAAAAATTAATTACTCTCTAATAAAAAATTGAATTACCTGTCTTAAGGGTGTGGCAACTTTACAAAGCAATTATACCTAGGTTTTCTCATGTGACATGGGAGAGTAAGTATCACTATCTTTTGCTCTATTCGAGGAAATGTGGCCTGCAAAGCTGTTATTATGCTAAACCACTCACATTAACTCAGTGAAACTTTCCATTGGCCTCAAAAGCTCATAATTCACCTACCTGCACGTGGGAATTATTCTCCTCATATATTTGGCAATGCTCTATAATAACGGCTTTGCATGAATGAGTGGTTTAGTGCACGATTATGCAGCAACACCTCTCATTGCATTTTCAAAGCAGTTATTACAGGCTGTGATTGTGAACATTAGATTCAATTTCAATTCATAGTTCTGTGAAGCAAATAAAAGTGTTTTGCATCCCTTTCTTGCTAGAAGAATGTTTTATCTTTCAAATCCAAAATAAATCAGATCATAGCTCTGTGAAATTGATGTATGGGTTGAAGTAAACCATCTCTAAGTAAAGAAACGCATAAGGGGAAAAAAATAGCAATTTGATCTTTTTTATTACATTTGTTGGCTACAAACTTAAATGAAGTTTAAAGGAAAGACAGCATTGGTCTGAAATTACCTCGACAATGCTAAAATCATATTGGCACTGAATTAAAAAAAAAGATAAAATATGTATTTGGATTTCAACATACCTATCCACAGTCAGGACAATGAGATCTTGCTGTTCAGCCAGAGCCTTCATTTCCTCCTTCAGTAGTCTGATTTTTTGTCCTCCACCAATAGAATGACCCACATCACCACCTTTCCATGCTTCTCCCATTCCCAACACCTGAGACACAACACATGTACAACCTAACATCAGTATAAGTATCAGTTTTAACAAGTCCCTCACTCATTTTTTAGTACTGTAGTCAGTAAGTGTCAGCTGCACTGACAGGATATGGAGAGAGGTATAAGGGTATACTGAGGATTAAAGCCATGGATGTCACAACACTGAAGAGGCTACAAGTGACATCAGGGAAGCAAGACAAAAGGCCTCAACTCAAGAGTATAAGTAATATGAAAAAGCTGAAAAACCATTGGGGAAGATAAAGGATAGTGCAACTGAGATGGAGGGTGAATGACTGTGCCAGTGTTTCTCTCTCTTTCTCCTGCCCCTCCTTATATTCCATCTTCCTAAGTTGATCCCAGTGAGAAGGAACAAGACAGACAGAAGGAGAAACTGAGTGAACGACCAGAAAGGCAGTAGAGAACCAGCAGTCAACTAGACAGACAGATAAACAGGAAGGCAGAGGACCAAACGGCTAAGTGGAAATGTACCGGTAGTCCCAGCCAGTCACCAAATGACCGTATAACACAATTCATAATGATCATACAGTTGAATCAACACCTCTCTAATAAAACAGTTTAAACACAAACTGATCATTATCTCCTTCATGAAAGAGGGCTTGTTGCAAGACTGTTGGATTAGACTGCATTAGTTTTAGCTTGGTGTTCCTAATAAAGTGACAACTGGGTGTGTTTTGTCTCAGAGGGACACAGTATTAACCCATAATAGTTTATACACTGGATACAATTCAAAAGGCTTCAAACTTGACTCGTACTTGTGTTTTGTGACTCGTGTAAATCTCCAGAAAAAATAAACTTCCACAGTTCTAATTGCTTTGTAACACAACCGTGGAAAATAGAAGCACGCAGCTGATTGAGAACTTTAAGGTAGCCTCATAGGATAATTCACACAGCATGCTAAGGTAACACCTGAGCTGTAGCCAAATTGACAGGCCTGTGTTTTTCTTTGCTTGCTGATGTGATGTTTGGGGGCTTTGGGAGGTTGCAGATTAGCTTGAATGTGTGTGTCTGCAGGAGCTGGAATACAAACTAGAGCAGCGTGATCACACAGGACCACACAAATGCATGCAGGGCATGAAATCAAAACTCCAAACCAAAACAACAAGTTTACTATATTGTTGATTTCAACCACAGAGGGAAATTCTGGACACACACTGAGGCGTGTCCCTATAGGAAGGATGTTTTGCAGCTTGTTGCACTTCATTGTTTCCATCTTGGGAAGTGTGCCTTAAAACATTTGGCTGCAGTGTGAGTATAGTACTGTTTGCTGTGACAAAGGGTGCAGTCCTGGAAATACATTTTGGAATATGGGAAGGCAATATTACCTTCACAGTGTAGTTGAAATAGTTTGCAGACTGCATAAAGCGGAGGAAGCCATCTGTTTCCTCTGTTGCAACAGTTAAGACAAGCAAGTTCTCTGAAAAAGAAAGAAGACATAACATCAGTGTATGACCTATAAAGTCATGACATATTTCTTTTTTCTTTCAGTTTTCTGGGGGGATATTTGTACTAGTATTAGGATTCCAACATTTGTGCACCAAGTACCTTGTAAACCTCAGGCCTATGTCAACAGACTGGTTTGCTTTAGCAGGCTAATGGTGCATTCCATTTGAACTGGGAAGTCAGAATGTCCCAGTTCCAAATCAGAAATTTCAACTTGAATGCCCTCTAAGTTCCATAGTACATGGAATGCACCAAAGATTTACATCTGAAATTAAGAATATCTATTGTAGTTTTAATGTGATCAGAAAAAGAAAAGCTAATGTTTTTAAACATGGGCCCAACAGTTTTTTTCCTCTTCTTGTGCTAAAGAAAACAAATCTCCAGGACATTTCTGGTGGCAACAGGTGCTGAAGTCTGAGGAAGGGTTAGACAGTAGACGGACCACAGCTAAGCTAATTTTCACTTGTTCTATTATATTTGTAAAACCAGCTGGGGGTAGCCTCGATCTGAAAGGCTGCAATCTGTTATTGTGCCGCATCTAGATCTGGTACATCAAACTCTATTATTCCATGAAGGGGGAGAATTAATTAATTCCCAGTTAGGAACAGATCATTTCCATATGTGCAAACTGTTTTTCTGTGCTAGAAGTAAGACAGACCAATAAAAAGTTGATCACACCTTTATAGGAACACTTGAATACTAATCCTGGTTTTCATGTGTCGAGAGCCAATCTGCCATCTTTAATATAAGCCTCTAACCCCTTGTGAATTATTTACACTCCTACACTAGTAAGTAGGATTGAATGTATGAAAGACTACATACCTGAGCCCTGTAAAGACCTTTGCAAGACCTAATTCAAAATACACTCTGCCCAGAGTATGGCTAGAAGAGTTCACATTATACCTTTGCAATACAGAGATTATCAGCTCTTCATTGTTTCATTTTTATGGTAATTTGTAATTTGGTTTTGTCACACAGCAAATCTCACCTTCCATGTAAAGATGAAAGCTATCAAGAACATTTCAAATAGAAGATATGTGTTGATTTCACATTTTCATGTGGTAGCCTAGAACCCATCTAATCCCACCAACCAAATAAAGTCGCTGTGGCCGTCATGAGAGGAAAAGTTGTATTGAGAGGAAAATATTTATAGAAAAAAGATTAATACAACATATGAGACAGTAATTTCTCTGTGAATATGAAGCCCCACACAAACAACCACAGTAAAGAACATTACAAGCAGCCTACTTCTACATTTTTTCCCATCTGTCCCGTTTTTGTGACACAGCCATTCTCTCATCGCAGTCTAGCCTGTGGCCCTGTCATTGCTCTAACAGTCATTGTAATAATCCCCTGACACAGACGGTCTGTTACAGTTTGGAAATAGTTTCCTGTCTGCCTCAAATGTAACATCATCAGCAAAGAACTGGTCAGAATCAGGAGCACATGAGTTTCAAATTGAGCACTGCACAGAAGTAAGGGATGCCCTTTCTGAGCCGCATGTGTCCCTGTTCTTGTTCTTGGCTTGAAGGTAGATGATGGAGCGCATGCTCAGTGTCTCCCACATCTGGCAAACACATTTTCCATTCCATGCCTTTTTTGTTTTTTGGGGGTTTTTTTGC